CTACAGGTTTAATGCAATTCCAATCAAAATCACAGCAGGATTTTTTGTGCATACAGGCAAGCTATTTTCAAAATGTATATGAAAAGGCAAAGAGAGAATAGCTAAAATTTGGGAAAGAATCCTACTATCCAATTTTAAGACTATAAAGATACAGTAATCAAGACACTATGATATTGGTAAACAGATCAATGGAACAGAAGAAAGAGTCCAGAAATAGACTCACACAGAAAACGGCCAATTGATTTTTAACAAAGATGCAACAGCAATTCAATAGAGAAAAATAGTCTTTTTAACACATGGTGTTGGAAAATTGGGCATCCATATGCAAAAAACATGAACCTTCACATAAAATTATATCAAAATAGATCCTAGCTCTAATGTAGACCACATAACTATAAAGCTTTTAGAAGAAAATATAAGAAAAAATCTTCATGATGTGGGGTTATGCAGAGTTCTTAGACACAATATTAAAAGCATGATACATAAAAGGAAAACAATAAAAATTAAACTTCAAAATTCAAATCTTTTTCTCTACAAAAGACACTGTTAAGAGAATGAAAAGAAAAGCTACAGAATGGGAAAAACAATTGCAAATGACACGTGACAAAGGATTTGTATCTAGAATATACTTTTCAATGCCCAAAACTCAATAGTAAGAAAACAACTAATCCAATTTAAAAATGGGCAAAAGACTTGGACAGACACTTCACCAAAGAACATATATGGAAGGCAAATAATAAACAAATTAAAAGATGCTCAGATGCTCAACATCATTATACATTAGAGAAATTAAAATTAAAACCACAATAAGACACTATGACATATCTATGAGAATGGCTAAAATAGAATGTAACGACAATACCAGGTGCTGGCAATGATGTAGAACAACTGAAACTCTCATACATTGCTGGTAGAAATGAAAAACGGTACAGCTACTCTGGAAAACAGTTTGGTAGACCCTTATAAAATTATACATGTAATTGCAATCTAACCCAACAACCTCACTCCTATATATTTACTCTAGAGAAATAAAAACTTATGTTCACACAAAATCCTATCCACAAATGTTCACAGTGGCTTTATTTGCAATGTCCCAAACTGGAAACAACCCACATGTCCCTCAACAGATGAGCAAAAAAACTTGTTATATCCAAACAGAATACTACTCAGCAACAAAAAAGGGAAAAACTACAGTAGACAACTTAGATGAATCTCAAAGGCATTATGCTGAGTGAAAGAAGCTAGTCTTAAAAGATTACATACTATATGATACTACCCATATGACAATCTTAAAAGACAAAATATAGTGATAAACCTGTAATCCTAGCACTCCAGGAGGCCAAGGCAGGAGAATCACTTGAGGTAAGGAGTTCGCATCCAGCCTGAGCAAAAGTGAGACCCTGTCTCTAATAAAAATGGAAAAAAGGAGCCAATTAAAAATAGAAGAAAAAAAAATTAGCCAGGTGTGGTGGTACACACCTGCAGTCCCAGATACTTGGGAGGCTGAGACAGGAGGATATCTTGAGCCCAGGAGTTTGAGGTTGCTGTGAGCTACAATGATGCCATGGCACTCTAGCCTAGGCAAGAGAGCAAGACTCTGTCTCAAAATAAATATATATAGTGATAAAAAGTTCAGTGGTTGCCAAGGGTTAAGGAGTGTGGGGAAGATGTGACTACAAAGGGACAGCACACATGAATTTTGGGTGTTATGGGATCGTTCTGAATCCTGATTGTGGTGGTGGTGATTACACGAATTTATACATGTTAAAATTCATGGAATGTATACCAAAAAAATAGTCAGTTGTACTTCATGCTACAATTACAATTAAGTTTTTTAAAGACTTTAATCAACATTACAAAAGAGTGGAAAATTCAACACAACAATAAATTTACTCATACTATCATTTGAAAGGAAATAGGAAGAATAAAGACTGCTATTACCCCACCTATATGATATCTTACGAAAGCTTTCAGAAACATAAAAATACTTGGGACATTTACTTTCATCCTTCTGATATAAAGAATAAATGGATTATGGAATCAATGATGAAAATGATGCTAGTTTAATCATTTCAACGAACAAGGTGGTTCTATGAAGTGAGACAACTTTAAATACACAAGCCAGCATAGGGCTAAAATCCGTCAATAATTCTTTTTTGGGGGTGAGAAGGAGAATTCTCATCAATTGCACCTAGGTAGGTATAAACACCTTTTGGTAACAGCTTTACTGACGTACAACTGATGCACAATAAACTATACACATTTATAGTGTATAATCTCATGGGTTCTGATACTTTTCTACATCTCCAAAAGCATCATCATAATCAAGCTAGTGAACACGGTGACTGTGCCAAAAAGTTTCCTCACGTCCCTTTGTAATCTATTCCTCCCTTCTTTACTCTCAAAGCCCAGGGTATCAATGATCTCCTTTCTGTCACTGTAGATTTGCATTTCTAGAATTTTATATAAATAGAACCATAAAGTATGTACTCTTTCTTTCCTCTGGCTTCTTTCTCTTGGCATAACTATTTTAAGATTCATCCATCTTACTGGACATATGACAGTTTGATCCTTTTTATTGCTGAGTAATATTCCAATGCACAGATATATAGCAATCCATATATATATGGATTGTTTATCCATTCATATATTGATGGACTTTTGAGTTGTTTCCAGTTTTCATCAATTACACATAAAGTATCTTAAAATATTTATATACAAGTCTTTGTGTGGACATATGCTTTCATTTCTCTTGGCTAAATATCTAGGAGTGGTATGTCTGAATCACAGGGTGGGTATATGTTCAACTTTTTAACGAACTGCCAAATTGTGTTCCAAAGTGGTTGCTCCATTTACATTCCCCTCAGTAATATATATGAGTTCTACTTATAACACATCTTAGCAAAACTTGGTATGGTCTTTTTAATTTTAGACATTATGGTGTGTATGTCGTGGTATCTCACTTTGGTTTTAATTTGCAGCTCCCTAACAACTAATAGTATTCAGAGGATCTTTTCACATGTTTATTTGCCATCTGGACATCTTCTTTGGTAAAGTTTCTGTTTAAACATTTTGCCTGTTTTTTAGCTGGGTTGTCTTCTTAGTATTGAGTTGTAAGAGCTCTTAATAATCCAAACACAAAGTTTTTGGTCAGATGTATGTTTTGCAAATATTTCCCCCCAGTCTGTGGCCGCCTTTCATTTTTGTAACAATGTCTTTTGAAGAGCAAAGTTTTGAATTTTGATGAAGTCCAAATTACTGATTTTTTTTTCTGTTACAGTTGATGCTTTTTGTGTCCTATTTAAGAAATCTTTGCTAAATACAAAGTCAGTAAGGTTTTCTCCTATGTTTTCTTCTAGAAGTTTGAGAGACCTGGGCTTTACATTTAGGTCTAAAATACATTTTGAATTAATTTTTTGTACATGATTCAAGGAATAAATCAAAGTTTATTCTTTATATATGCATATGTATCACTTTTATTTAAGACTCTCCTTTCACTAAGAGAACTGCTTTGGCAGCTCTGTGAAAAAGCAATTGATCATATATGCATAGGTCTATTTCTGCTGTTTCTATTCTATTCCATTCATCTGTATGTCTAACTTTACAGCAACATCACACTATCTTGATTTACGGTAATTTTATGAAAATCAGGTAGTGTAAATCCTCCAATCTTGTTCTTTTTCAAAATTATTTTGGCTATTCCAGATCCTCTGAATTTTTGTATAAAGCATAAAATCCAATTGTCAATTTATGCTGAAGAAAAACAAAGCCTATTAGCACTTTTGTTGAAACTGCATTGAATCTACAGCCCAATCTGAGAAGAAATGACATGCATACAATGTTAAGTCTTCCAGTCCATGAGCATGGTGTATCTTTCTATTTATTTATTTTTACATCTTTAATTTCTCTCAACAATGCTTTGTAGCTTTTAGTGTACAGATCTTACACGTCTTTTGCTAAATTTATCCCTTAAAATTCTGTATTAATACTTTTGTAAATTATTTTTTAATTTCAATCTCGTACAATTTGTTGTTTGCATCTAAAAACAATTATATTGAAATTAAAACTGCTACCTGTCTAAACTCACTTGTTAGTTCTAGTAGCTTTTACGTACATTCCTAAAGATTTTCTAATTAAGCATATCATCTACAAATAAACGTAGCTTTATTTCCTCACTTTAAAACTGTATGACTTTTATTTCTTTTGGTGACTTTATTATACTGCGTGAACAGGGATCAGCAAACTATGGCCTCTGCACCAGATCAATCCTATTACTTCTTTTTATACAGCCCATAAATCAAGAATGGATTTCAAATTTTTAAATGTTTAAAAGAAAATCAAAGGAATACTATTTCATGGCACATTAAAATTATATGAAATTCAAATTTCCAATGTCTATAAATAAAATATTATTGAAACAAAGCCACACTCCTTTGTTCATGTACTGTCTATGGCTGCTTTTGAGCTACAACAACAGAATTGAGTACTTGCAACACAGACCATACAGCCCACAAAGCCTAAAATATTTCCCATCTAGTCCTTTATAGAAAATGTTTACTGACCCCTGCCTGGTATCTCCAGCACATTATTGATTAGAAATGACAACAGACATCCTTCCCTTGTCAATACTTAATCCCTTATAATTCTTAAACCATGGGTAAGAAACAGCTATTAGATTTACATCTGAAGTAGGAACATTTACCCAAGGCTATCCATTTTACACATATGCATGAACTGCTTCCACATTAACATAATAGGACAAAAATCACCTTCATTGTTAATCTTGGACTTTAACAAAACCAAGACAATAGCATGATACCTAAAATATATATCAAGCCAATGTGTGGAAAGTAACCAATAGGTGATAGGAAGGTAACAACAATTATGATTAACAAAATTTTTTTCTACTAAAATTCTGCCACTGCTCTTTAAGGAGAATCACTGTAAAATCACCACTATATATATAAATGACTAATCCATTTCAATAAAAAATAACATACCCATAATAAAAGGCAGCCATAAGCATATAAGTCTGAACTTGGAGAAGCAGGCTTTCCCATTTTCAGTTCAGGTGATATTAGACTCAAGTCACCAACCACCATGTTCACTGAAGCTCGCTGACTCTACAAAAATAACATTTTAAATATTTTAGAAGCAACACAGTTGAGGGGACTTTCTGTGAAGTACTTTGCATTTAATCAATACAAAAAACAAATTCATTTGAAATATTTCATTCTCTTGCTTTCAAATATTTTTATCTAATTTCTGCTGTCACAAATTGCTCTTACAAATCGGTCTCAGGCCAGGCATGGTGGCTCGTGCCTGTAATTCCAGCACTCGGGGGGAATGAGGCGGGAGGATCGCTTGAGGCCAGGAGTTCAAGACCAGCCTGGGTGACATAGCAAGGCCCCAGCTCTACACAAAAATTTTAAAAATTAGCCAGGTGTGGTGGCACACACCTGTAGTCCCAGCTACTAAGGAGACTGAGGCAGGAAGATCACTCAAGCCCAGGTGTTCAAAGTTACAGTGAGCTATGATTCTGCCACTGCATTCCAGCCTGGGCAACACAGCGAGAGCCTGTCTCTTTTTAAAAAAAACAATTTTAAAAAAAAAAAAAAAAAAAAATCAGTCTCATAAAGTTAAAAGTGAGACTTTCATTACATTCAGATTATAGACTCAGAGATTAAAAACTAACAACCATTGATTCTTTGATTAAACATTTGAAACTCTTTTTAAAAACAAATTTCACAACGGTAAGTGGCAGTGCTATTTTTTAATTCTGAAAATTCTAAATAATGTTTTAAACTAAA